AAGTGAATTTACTCTGTAAATCTTCACCCAAATCCTAATAAATAAAAAAAAAAAAAGCAGACCTCCAGACCCATCCCAAGAGATGTGCTTCTGTGTCTGGAGTGGGCCCAGTAACCTACATATTTAATTAATAAAGTACTCCAGATAATTCTGATGCATGAGCCCAAAGTTGCAGTATCATATCTAGAGAATAAATGTGCTTAAGGCATTCTTGTAGCTCAAGATAAAAACTCGTGGACCTGATGCTCACTCAGATTTCTTCTAGATCTAAAATTCTGCCATTGTCTCTGTGGGTCTGTATTACTGAAGTGAGGTTAGTAAATGAAATGTAATGTCCAGATTTTAAACCTGAATGACTGCTAGTGTCATTAGCACAGAGAAAGACTGAACTGTCTAATTGCTGTTGTTGTTAGATGCCTTCGAGTCAGTTAATAGCAGCCTGTGTACAAAAGAACCCATCAGTACCCAATCCTGCTCATCCTCACAATTGTTGCCATGTTTGAGCTCAACTTCATAGCCACTGTGTCAATCCATCTTGTTGAAGGTCTTCCCCTTTTTTGCTGTCTACTTTACCAACCATCAGATCCTTCTCCAGGGACTGGTCCCTCCTGACAATATGAACAAAGTACGATAGACAAAGCCTGGCCATTCTCGCTTCTAAGGAGCATTCCAGCTACAGTTCCTTTAAGGCACATCTGTTTGTTCTTCCACGAGTCCACAGTACATTCAATATTCTTCACCAACACGATAATTAAAATGCATCAATTCTTCTGCAGTCTTCCTTATCCACTGTCCAGCTCTCACATGCATCCAAAAAAACAAACTCACTGCCATCAAGTCGATTCCAACTCATAGTGACCCCCACTGGATTTCCGAGACGGTAAATCTTTATGGAAGTAGATTGCCCCATCTTTCTTCCACAAAACAGCTGGTGGGTTTGAACTGCCAACCTTTTAGTTAGCAGTCAAATGTCTTAGGCACTAAACCAGCAGAGCTCCTTCTCAAAAGACGCTATTAAAAAGACCATGGCATGGGTAAAGTGCACCTTAATCTTCCAAGTGATACCTTTGCTCTTTAACACTTTAAAAAGGTCTTTTGCAACAAATTTGTCCAGTGCAATATGTCACTTGATTTCTTGACTGCTGCTTCCATGGGCATTGATTATGGATTCAAGTCAAATGAAATCCTTGATAACTTTAATCTTTTCTCCATTTATCATAATGTTGTTTATTGGTCCAGTTGTGAGGATTTCTGCTCTCTTTATGTTGAGGTGTGCTCCATACTGAAGGCTGTAGTCTTTGATCTTCAGTAAGTGCTGTAAGTCTTCCCTTTCAAGCAAGGAAGGTTGTATCATCAGCATATTGCAGGCTGTTAATGCATCTTCCACCAATCCTAATGCCATTCTCCTTCATTCTGTCCAGTTTCTTTGACTATTTAGTCAGCATACAGATTGAATAAGAACAGTGAAAGGAGATAGCCCTGACACACACCTTTCCTGATTGTAAACCATGCCCTATCCCCTTTTCCAGGTGCGCCTGACCCAACCCAAGGTATTTTCAATCACCTCATGTGCATGTGAAAGCTGGACAGAACTGAATGCCTCTGGATTATAGTGTTGGTGAAGAATACTGCATATACCATGGACTGCTAGAAGAACAAACCAATCTGCTTTGGAAGAAGTATAGCCAGAGTGCTCATTAGAAGCAACGATGGTAAGACTTTCTCTGATGTACTTTGATCATATTGTAAGGAAACCAGTCCCTGCAAAAGGACCTCATGCTCAGTAAAGGGTCAATGAAAAAGAGGAGGACTCTCAGTGAGATGGATGACAGTGGCTGCAACAATGGGTTCAAAAATAGCAAAGAGTGAGAGGGTAGCACTGGACCTTGCAGTGTTCGTTCTGCTGAACTTAAACAGGGTCGCTATGGGTCAAAACGGACTCATCAGCACCTAATACCACCACAACTTTCATGGCATTTAGCATACATTTTATTTAATCCTCTGTGAGGGAAGTATCATTTCCACTATATTCATGATGAAAGTGAGACCCCAAAGATTCACAGCTAGTTAAGTAGCCTAATTTTTTTCATTGTTACGAGGATCTTCCATCTACCTTCTACCGGTCTTCTCCAGCCCACATGCCAGTTCCAATTTCTCCAAGCGTCCTCTCACCATCCCTTTCCTTACTTCAGTTACCCTGGCTAGAGTTCCAAAAAGAGGGGAGGAGAGTACGCGGCAAGTAAATGAGGAAGTACATCTCAACACAATCTGAAGTCTCAGAGCTTTGCCCTAGGCCAACCCCTGAGGAGAGCACCGGACTGTAAACCCGGCTCTTTCCTCACCGTCCCCCAGGGATGGCCTCGCGGTCTCCTCCAGATACCAAGTTGCGGCGAGGGCGCATGACCGGGCCTGCACCGGCTTTCTGACAGCAAAGGGGAGAATTTCTCAGAGTGGTCTTGCAATCTGCAAGCCCTCACTGCAACTTAAAGACTAGGCGTGACTGTGGGACAGGAGAGGCGCTGACACTTACCTCCTCCGGCTCGGGCCTGGCCGCTTCCGGCCTTTCTGCATCGCCCATCGCGCAGACTCGGCCAGAGCTACAATAGCTAAGGCAACTGAGCGCGCTGGCGGCCTCCCACTTCTACAGGACTCAGCTGGCGGCGGGTCAGCGTGATCCGCCACGCCCCCAGCTTCACGGACCAGACCTACCCCGGCTGGCCCACCCCAATCACGGCATTGGTCCCGCCTCCCGCCTGTCCGCTTTAGAATCTTCCCTGCGCTGACGGATCCTGCTCGGTTCCACCGGACCAGCCTCACCTCAGATACCCGCCTACTCCGGCTGGCCCCGCCCCGCCCCGCTGCGCCGGCCCGGATTTAGAGGCCCTCCTACTCTGTCTGGCCCCGCCTCAGGCACCCACCTACTTCTGCAGCCCCGCCCCGCTCCTCTCCGTTGGCCCCCACCAGAGATTCGCCTTCTCCGGCCGACCTCGACCCACTGCGTCGGCCCCACCTGAGATTTGCTTACTCCAGCCGTCCCAACCCAAGAGATTCACCTCCCGCGACCAGCCGCGCTTCAGAGACCCTCCTACTCCGTCTCGCCCCGCCTCAGACACCCGCCTACGCCTGCCGGCCCCGCCTCAGACGCCGCTCTGTTCCCATCGGCTCCGCCTCTCGCCTGCGACCGAGGTACTTCACGAACCGGGTCTGGCCTTGCTACTGGCCTGTGGCTCTCCACGGTTAGCCCTGGGCTCTGCTCACCTGGTACAGGTGGTGCCCAGATACACTCGGTCACCCTTCCAGGTCGAGATTCCCCAGCTAGTCGTCACTATGCCCCAGGAACACGGTTTTTTGTCGCGCTTACTCGCCTTGTCGACAACCCACAAGATAAGGAGAACAGGCTGTTCACGTCTGAATTGATTAAAACAGTGCTACATTATTGGTGAAAAAGCCACACCGTTAAAAAATTAATGAGGAAAAGAAACTGGCTTGTTTTGTATTTAAGTAACCGAAAAAAGGAAGTGGTTGACGTAAAAGTGTGTGAATGGAGTCGTTGGGGGTTGAGAGTGAGGAGAGGGAAGAAGTACTAAATTCAGGAAAATATTTTTGAAAGCACTGTGCAGTTGTTTCAACAAAACTAAGTTTTTAGTGATATTAACCGTAGTTAATATTTATTGAGTTCTTACAAGTGTCAAGCGCTATACTAAGCACCATCTGTGAATTAATCTTCAGTACATCTCTATGAGAAACTATAGCAATTTTCCTTATATTACAGATTAAGAAACTTATTCTTGAAATAACTAACTGAAGTTATCCAGCTAAAAAGTAGTAGACTCCAGAGTCTACTTCACTCCATGGAAAAGAGTGTCTTTTCAAGGTCAAAAGTTAAAGTCGTGGAGGAAGCACTGGTGTAATGGCAGCAAACCATGGCTACTGATGATAATAATTTGAAGTAGTGATACCCTTTTCACAGAGGAACTGTCCATAAATAACTACAACAGAAAAATGGTTTTGCCTAACAAAAATAAGATGAAAGATTTGTTTAAGTAGCTTGAAGGTGAAATTAATGGGGACTCTATCATGCCTTGAACAGCATGCACCTGCTGTGTGGATAGCTAGCTGTCTGAAGTATATGACAGTATAGAAAATTTACAGGCTTTGAAAATGACAAACCAAAAAAACCAAACTCACTGCCATCAAGTTGATTCTGACTGACAGTGACCCCCACTGGGTTTCCAAAGCTGTATACCTTTACAGAAGCCTACTGCCCGTTTTGGTTCGCTAGTGCCACTGTAACAGAAATTACCCCCAATGGGATGGCTTGAACAAATAGGAGTTTATTCTCTTACAGTTTTGGAGGCTAGAAGTCTGAGTTCAAAGTGCCAAGCTACTGGGGCTGGGTGGAAGCCCCTATACCTTGGGCTTCAGCTCTGCCTCTTGTTCCTGGCCCCCTGAAGCTGAAGGCTGAGTGAAGAAACTCAAGCAGCTGCTGGCTGCTTAGGCTGACAAACTCAAAGTCGACAAGTAAAAAGGCACAGTCCTGAGATTATCAAACATAGTAGGCCTCTAGTTCAAGTCCAGAAAAAGCCCCTAGATTGGCAGGGCATGGCAGGCTGCTGAATGAAGACTAAGCTACATGCAGAGTCTAAGCGTGCCAAAAAGCTGAAGAGACCGTTCTTAAAACTTCTCTATGTATATTGGAAATAGACCACATCCCTAAGGCAGCTACTCTGCTGCTCCAGTGGATTCCACCATGGAGCTGATTACCAGTCTCATCATGGGGAATAGCTGTCTCCAGCTGCCCAGCCACTCAAAACCAGGCACAAAAAGTTGATACATAAAACTACCACACTGCCTCATCTTTTGTCTGTGAAGCAGCTGGTGAGTTTGAACCACTGATTTTTTGGTTAGCAGCCAAATGCTTTAACCACTACCACCAGAGCTCCTTACAGAAAATTTATAAGCCTTGAAAATGATTGAAAGCTCTTTCTAAAACCTGCCCCAGTGTGGGGAAAGAGAGTTACCCTTTCTTAGGCATCTAACCACGTGCTAAGTAAAATTGTTTACATATATTTAATTTTTTACATAACTTTAAATAATAGACACAGGAATTCTATGAGAAACCTGAATCTCAAAGTTAGGTGATTTACCATAGATCACATGGCAAATAGACTAAGAGCTAGGATTCATTCATTAATTAATCAAGTATCATATTAAGTATTGAAGATACAAAAAAATGAATGAGCTTAGTGAAAAAAGAATGTGGCCCTAGAGTCAGATCATCATTAACTTGATCTCTAGCTCCTTTATTTATTAGCATTGTTACCTTGGGAAATTACTTAGCCTCTGTTTTGTCATTGGTAGGGTGAGACTAAGAAAATTCCTTCATCAGGAAGTGGTTCTGGAGATTTAATAATACATTACTTTTAAAGCATTTATTGTGGTAGTAAATGGCTTTGATGCAATGGTGGTTTCTAAGTACATTACTAGACTGGCTATTCCAGAGTTCACATCCCAGAAAGGCTCTGATCAAATTAAGATGCTTAAATCACACAGTTTATTCTGCTGGCGGTTCAAACCCACCAGCCACTTCTCAGAAGGAAGACTGGGCAATCTATTTTCGTAGAGATACAGCCTCAGAAACCCAAAGAGGGGTTGCTATGAGTTGAAATTGACTCAACGGCATTAAGTTTTTTTTTTTTTTTTTTTTTATGTTTTAAGCAAGGAGAAAGAGATAGAGTAAGTTCCTATTTTTAGGAGGGGGTATGGAAAGAGGACAGTGTTTCACTGCTATTTATAAGGTTTTCATGCTCAGTGGAGGATCAGCAAAAAAGGGGAGGCTACAGTGGGCTCGGGAGCTCTGGTAGCATAGTGGCTATGGCGCTTGACTGCTAACCAGAAGGCTGGCGGTTCAAATCCACCAGTCACTCCTCGGAAGGAAGATGGGGCAATCTACTTCCGTAGTGATACTGCCTCGGAAACCCGAGTCGGGTCCGACTCGACGGCAAACAACAACAACAACAACAATGGGCTCAAGCATATCAAGTGTTAGGAGGACGGCGCAAGACTAGGTAGTGTGTTGTTTTGTTGTACATTGGATTGCTGTGAGTAGGAGCTGACTCAACAGCACATAACTACAGTGGAAAGAGGAGGGAATGACAGGACCACACTATCTTATGTTACTCACTGTTCCCGTGTCCTGTCTTTACTGTATCAACCTAAGTGGTAGTGGTTGTGAGGACCACAGCTGAAGGAAAGCAAGGGGATTCAGCAGGGAGAAGATGCTTGGAGCCAACACACACTTAGTCTTTTGGATACAAAAGCAAGCATGCCTGGTCACAGCTGTAACTCACCATAAATTAGCTTGCTGAGAAGCTGTGGGTTTTTCCTGTGTTTCTTAGGCAGAACACATGTGGGGCCAGAAGTGGGTATCACCAGTGGGTGTCTGATTTAGGGATAACATAGCTATTAATCTGAAAGTGACATGATCTGTACCTTATGAATGTTTGAAGTTTACTTGGCCCTTCAAGCCCTTTCTATGTGTGACACCCTGATTTGTCGAATTTTAAACTTACGTTAAACATATATGTTCTCTTTATTCTATCTTTAACATGCCTCACAGGTTACTAATTATTTATACTAAACATACAAATCTCATTATGTCTTACAAGTTAGTTCCCCTTGATTTTTATAACAGAACTGAATATTCTGAAATAATACAGCAAATACACATTACAGTGTTTCTAACAGTGCTTGGCAATCGTTGTTGCTGGGTGCTATGGAGTTGTTTCTGACTCATAGTGGCCCCATGTGACAGAGAACTACCTTATAGGGTTTTATTGGGTAATCTTATGGAAGCAGATCACCAAGTGTTTATCCCTCAGAGCCACTAAACCTAAAACCTTACTGCCGTGGAGTCAGATCTGACTCATAGCGACCCCTCCTTGGGTTTCCAAGATGGCATGTCTACGGAAGTAGATTGCCCAATCTTCCTTCTGAGGAGTGGCTGGTGGGTCTGAACTGCCAGCCTTCTGGTTAGCAGTCAAATGCCTTAGGCACTACGCCACCAGAGCTCCTTACAGTTAATAAGGAATGCAAATATTAAAAAATGGAAAACTAGATCGCTGGGAGTAAAAGGATCCTACATTGTTACGTAGCCTCTGTGGTAGATAGTATTTTCCAAAATGGCCACAGAAATATTTCTGGTCCCACACATTCTTCCAGAACCTTGATACTCCTCTGATCAAAGTGTGGATTCTAATTCCTCTTCCTTTGAATAAGATAATGAAGCAAAATCTCTCTCTTGGGAAGTCCATCATTGGAAACTAGGTTAGGAAAAAACAAACTCGCTGCCGTCAAGTTGTACCTGACTCATAGCGACCCCTCCTTGGGTTTCTGAGGCGGTATCTCTACAGAAGTAGATTGCCCAATCTTCCTTCCCAAGCCAAAAACTAGTCTACACAGATAGACCACATGGAGAAGCTCATGTGGAGAAGAACTTGAGGGACACAGCCCGACTAGCATCAACGTCCAGATGTATGAATAAACAAGCCTTCAGAGGATTACTACACCCAGCCATCAAACCTTCCAATTGAATGAAACTGCAAACATCATGGAACAGAGATAAGCTGTCCCAACTCCCAACTGTATCTTGTACAAAT